GACTGTTTAATATCTTTATGTTAACTTTTTAAAGAAATGCATGTTACATTATAAATCTCTGAGTGCTGCATAAAAGACAGTAAAATCAGTTGCATTTTGCTAATTTATAAATATTTCAAAATTCTAATTTTTATGAATTAGAATGTAGAGTACTTGCCTCAGATACATAAGGCCCTGGGCTCAATCCCCAGCACCACATACACACAAAAAAGTATGAATATAAATGGACATATATACATTGATAGGGCTTTGTTTACCCAAATGAGAGCGTGGCTTTTTTTTTTTTTTTTTTTTTTGACAGTACTGGGGATCAAACTGAGGGCCTCAGGCACAGTAGAAAAGAGCTCTACCACTGAGCTACATCCCCTGCTCACTCCTTTTCTTGTGTTTATGTGATTTGGGAGTAGAACCCAAGGTCTCCAGAGTGTCAGGAAAGCAGCACAGCACTCAGCCACACACTACAAAAGGATCATGGTTGATAGAATATTTTGTAATCTTCATTTACTAATATGGATAATTCTCTTCCAATTCCAATTATAAAAAAGACATTCTAATATTCTGCTAAATAAAGCCAGAACTAACTTATTTGCTTGATTATATCATTTACCACTGTTTGACTATACTATAATTCAAACATTTTCTTATTAAAAAAATTTTTTTTAGTTGTAGATGGACACAATTCCTTTATTTTTTTTATTTTTATGTGGTGCTGGGGATGGAACCCAGTGTCTCATGATGCTAGGCAACTGCTCTACCACTGACCCACAACCCCAGCCCCAAACATATTTTATTGATGAGCCTTCAATCTGTTTCCAGATTTAGCCATTACAAAGATGCAAAACACTTTTCTGCATTTATTTCCTTACTTAGCATAGTTTTTCTTTCTTTTTTTTCTTAACACTGGGGACTGAACTCAGGGCTTTGCATATGCTAGGCAAGTGCTCTGTCACTGAGCTACATTCCAGACCTTTTTATTGTTTGAGGCAGGATCTCACTAAATGTCCCTGGCTAGCCATAAACTTACTTTTTTGTTGAGGGGGCTAGGGATTGAACTCAGGGGCACTCAACCACTGAGCCACATCCCCAGTGCTATTTTGGGTCTCACTAAGTTGCTTAGCACCTCACTTTTGCTGAGACTGGCTTTGTACTCGTGATCCTCCTGCCTCACCTCCTTGGCTCCTGGGATTACACATGTGCAACACTGAACCCAGCTGGCCTCAAATTTCTGATGTTCCTGCCTCACCCTCTGGAGTAGCTGGGATTAAAGGCATGTACCACCACACCTGGCTTCTATCATGAGTTCTTATAGAAAGAGTTGGAATTTGGGGTCAAAGTATTCTAAATATTTAACTTATTTTCCCAAAATTAACAATTTTTCTTTCCTTTTGATAGTAAGTATTCTAATCTTTAATAAAAACTATCAAATTATTTTCCCCAAAATATGTCATAACTCCGATTCATGTCATGAGAGTATAAGTGCCTCTTTTCCTGTATTCAAACACTGCATGTTTCTCACCATTTGGATATTTTGCCAATTTGATATTTTAGTGTGTATGTACTTAATTAGTAAGTTTGAGCATAATAGGGTTTATCTAATTTATTTTTTGAGACAGTTTCCCTATGTTGCCGTGGTTTGTCTCTAACTCCTGGGCTCAAGTGATCCTCCTGCCTCAGTCTCCTGAGTAGTTGGAACTACAGGTGAGCACCACCATGCCCAGACAGGGATTTTTTTTTTTTTTTTTAATATCAGGCTTTACTATCCTACATATTATATATGAATTTCTCACTTTTACTATATAATGCCTTTGGCTATATAGTTTTTTTCTTTAAAAATGTATGTACTTAAATGACTTTATAGCTTTTTTCCAACACCGTTTAGGAAACCCTTCCTGAGCTCAAGATAATACAACTTTCTCTTAAATTTTCTTTAATTCTATCTGGAATTTTTTCATATATGGTAAAACATAGGGGACTAGCTCTGTGTTGCCCCTGGATATTCACCTGTGCCAGCATCATTTTCCCAATTAATTGAAATGCGGCTTTTGTTAAATATCATGTTCTTTGTTGTGATTTGTTTCTGTATTTTATAATGAGCCCAAACCATACTTTGGTTTATAGTAGCTTTTTAGTAAGTTTTACTAATTAGTAAAACAAGTTTCCACTCATTAAAAAACTTTTATTATCTTATTTTCTTCAATATACAAACTTTTAAAAGGTGTTATCTAGGGCCATCCACCTGTCTTGGGCAAAGGGGAGGGTATCACCAATCATATTGTGATTCTAATTGATTAAATTATTAATTTAGGATGACATTTTTTGTTATGCCTCCCTAACCAGAACATGAACTTTTTTGTGTAGATTTTTTTAAATATTATTTATTTTTTAGTTGTAGTTGGACACAATGCCTTTATTTTATTTATTTTTATGTGGTGCTGAGGATAGAACCCAGGCCCTTGCACTCTAGGCGAGCACTCTACCGATGAGCCACAACCCCAGGCCTGTAGATTTTTTTTTTGAGACAGGATCTTACTGTATTCCTCAGGATGGTCTCCAACTCCTGAGCTCAAGTGATCCTCCTGCCTCACACCCTGTCAAGTTGCTGGAACTACAGGTGTGAACCATTGTGCCCAGCTGGTTTATGTCTTTAATAAAATTTCAGTTGTGTTTTGATAAGATTCTGTGCCTTCTTTTCTAGATATCGTACTTTTGGTTGCTGTTGTGAATAGGATACATGTATTTTTTTCTTGGCTTTTGATAATTTCCATCTCTATCTCAATTAGACATTCCCTAGACAAAGGAAAGCTATTAATTTGTTATTTTCATCCAGCTACTACATTCTCTTGTTAATTCTAGTAGCTTATCTTTTGGCAGTCCTTTGCAGTTGTTTTTCCACAGCAGATACTTGCTGCTGGCCAATGCTGCCCAGAGGGGCCTTCAAAGAACCAGACACTAGATTTCTATGAGTATACATCCATCAATGACAACACAATGGGGTGGTTCCTGGTCTCTTAGATCACATATACTTCACTTCAAAGAGTCTTTTTTAAATTTTTTTTAAAAATATTTTTTTTTCTAGTTGTAGATGGAGACAATATTTATTTATTTTTATGTGGTGCTGAGGATGGAACCAAGTACCTCACATGTGCAAGGCAGGCACTCTAGCACTGAGCTGCAGCCCCAGCCCTCAAAGAGTCTTTTATACACACTTAAGTTCACTGCTGTAATCATACCAATTAAGTTCCCAACTGGTCTCCTGCATCAGGAGACAGCCCAAGCACATACTTACTCTCTTATTACTCTTCCTTCTTGAAAGACAGATGTACTCACAGATGGTTTCTCTGACCACATTACCTATAAGTTTGTCTCAGTCACTATCACATTATCCAGTTTTACTTTCTTCAGAGCACCAAGCATACTGATAGGTATATTACTCATCAATTTATTTTTCATTCTCCAAGAGAGATTATATACTAGATTGTAATTGACTTATTTACCTTTTTATATCCAGTACCTAGAATTCGAACACCAGTAGGTCTTTTTCGAACAAATAATTGTTAAGTTTTCTGGAAAATAATCTACATCATGCTTAAGTAATTGTGTGTGTGTGTGTGTGTGTGATGCTGGGGATTGAACCCAGGGCCTTGTGCATGAGAGGCAAGCGTTCTTCAACTGAGCTATATCCCCAGCCCTGATCTTTTTTTATTTATATGCGGTGCTGAGAATAGAACCCAGTGCCTCACACATGCAAGGCAAGTGCTCTACCACGGAGCTACAACTCCAACCCCTAAATACTTTTTTTCTTATTCCAACATTTCTTAGTGTTATCAAGAAGGTTGCTATAGTCTGGGTGCAATGGCATATGCCTGCAATCCCAGAAACTGGGAAAGCTGAGGCAGGAAAAGGACAAATTCAAGGCCAGCCTGGGCAACATATGGGGACTCTGTCTCAAAAAATAAGAAATAAAAAGGATCTAGGGATGTAGCTTAGTGGTAGAGCACCCCTGGGTTCAAACTCCAGCACCAGGAAAAAATAGCTATTATGAAATTTTTTTTCTGCTTAAGGGACAGATAAAAGTGATCAGAGTTACCGAAGTTTGTTATTTTTAAAATGTTGAAGTCATTGAGAGAAGAACTATTGAGGTAGAGATTGAAATGTATCCTATCTCAACGTTCACAACTTGCATTTTAGGATCTTTTTTCCATTTTTTTTATGAAGGCTTATTTAACTAAATATCAATGGTAGCAGACACATTTACCACTTCTTTCAAAACTTACGAGACTTCCTGGGAAACGAAAGAGTGCCAGTTAACCCAGAAGGATCCTCGAGGCAGCTTTCAACTTGTTCACTATCTTATTTTCTTTTAGAGAGCAGACATATCGCCGGTTTGACGTGCTTTGCTTCTGCTAGTTTTCGAAAACTCTACTCCCCCTTTTTACTGCCTTCGGTTTATCAATCTAGCCACAGGTCTGGTGAAACTCAGGCCCATGGCCAGACTATCTGAGGCATTAAAAACTACCTAGAGAAGCATTTTCAGGGGTTCATTGTGGAGCGGTGGGAATGTTAGCTCATGGTTGGATATGTTTTGTTTACATTTGCGGTCCTACCACCCCTACCTTGCGGTTTAACTTTTGCCCCCAAATCTCCAAGACCGCTCAGACCGTTTCCGGCGCCCAGCGACCCCCGCGCCCGGTCCAGACAGGCACCGGAAAACCGGAAGCTCCCGCCCCCGGGCGTCTGGCCCTTCAGCATGCGGGCCCCTCCCGGCGGCGCGCTCGCCCGGTGCATTGTGGGCACTGTAGTTCGTTTTGAACCCGCTAGCTACACGTCCCGCGACGCTGCTTGTACTCAACCCCTTGTGGGCAGTGCCCCTCCCGGTCCTCAGCCGGGCTTCCCGGGCCGGGACGCGGCGTTCTGGCGGGTCAGCTGTTTTTCCCCAGGCACAGAGGCGGAAGCTGGAGGGACGTGGGGTGGAGCTTCGCGAGCGGGGTGAACGCCCGTTCTACGTGCTCGTTCGCTTCGCGACCGCTGCGCGCGAGCCCCGTGTCCCCGCGGCGGGCGGCAGCGGCGGCGTCTGTGGAACGCGGAGTGGGCGGAGGGAGCCCGCGGCGGCTGCGGCTACAGCGAAATGGCGGAGACCGTGGCGGACACCCGGCGGCTGATCACCAAGCCGCAGAATCTGAATGACGCCTACGGGCCGCCCAGCAACTTCCTCGAGATCGATGTGAGCAACCCGCAGACCGTGGGGGTCGGCCGGGGCCGCTTTACCACCTACGAAATCAGGGTCAAGGTGAGACCATCTTTCGGCTCAGCCAGGAGACCCCTCACACCCGCTCTGGTCGCCCCCTCTGGATCAGGAGCGGATCCCCTGGGCTGGCCACTGCCGCCCAGGCCAAGACCCCCGGGAGAGGCAGTGGTAGCCTTGCGTGTGGGCTGGGGTCGTAAGCCCGGGCCCCGGTTGTATAGGTTGTAGGGGGGCTGCGGCACTCGAGAAGGTGCTGGAAGAAGAGAGAGTGGGTTGAGCTCTGCTTGCCCCTCTAGCAGCTGATCTGGGAGTGACATTTGAGTTGGAAAGGGGTAGATCTTTCCAGAACACAGTCCTTCACTGGGAAGGGAGTTAGGTGTGACTAAGAAAGGGGTTTGCGCAAAGTTGAAGCGTTTCCTTTCGTTTTCCTGGAGACTTCCCAGAGATGACCAAGTCAAGCTGGTTGTTCCAGGGCCGCCTCAAGCAACCATAATAACCTAGGTTGCACACTCCTAGGAGAACTTGATGATACTTCACAAAAACCTGACAAATTTTTAATAGGACTGAGCCAGGCGTGAACAGTGATTGGAAATGGTTGACTAGCATTCTTGGCTGTCAATCTTGCTAAAGGCTGAGGTGTGAGAAATGTCGCCTACCTCATGACCAAAGCACAACTGCTTTAAGAAAAGCCTGTTCATTTAGGGATCTTGCTCTCTTAATTTCAAGATTTGCACTTAACTGAATGAAGGAATCAATTGAAGTAGAAACACACTCTCATAATTTCATAACTAGTACTTGTTGGGAAAAGTAATTCAGATGATTTGAAAGATGTTAATTGAGAATAACGCTTCAATTTCACTCTGGTTCAGGATTAAAGATATTGCCCATGTGTAGAAGTGTGTTTAAAAATTAATTACATTACACTAATTCAGCTGTTAAAGACAACAACAAATTATTTAACATTAAGCATAAAATGATTGTGGTATTAGATTAACCAAAATTTGCATAACAAATTATTTAAATTTAAGTGGAGTAATTTCTTATTAACATCTGCAACTTATTGTGTGTTAAATATACAACATAAAATTTATCATCCTAACCATTTTTAAGTACCCAGTTCTTTAGTGTTGAGATATTCACATTGTGAAACTTAGGCTCTTTTAAAAAATGATTATTATGCTGTTAGTGTTGAAAAAAAGTTAATCATCAAACTTTAGCAAAAAGATATGAACTAATGGTTGAATGTTACAAACCCTCCTTATCTCTTTGTGAATGTAAAGTATGAACCATAAGCTATCTTGTTAAGGGAAACCGAAAAATTCGAGCTCCAGTATACCCAGAGAAATAGTTGAAAATAAACCTAGTGAAAAAGTGAGCATTTTTTTTAACTTTAGAAATAATTTTGCATTGTTTTTATAATATGGCAGATGGTTCTCTAAAAAGAACTTCCTCTTTTGCCTTTATTCACTAGCACATTTTCCTTTTTTTTTTTTCTTGAGCTAAAACAAAACTTGGTATTCCTGTTTCTAAACTTCATAGCTAATACTTCCTGTCACACAATTGAGTTGGAATCTCCTGCCTACACTTCCTTCAAGTAATAACTTTGTGTTTATCTTGGTAAGTGCATTATTAAATAGATTCTAGTATGATAATTTAATCCCCTCTCTCTTTTTTTAGTACCTGGGATTGAACCCAGGAGTACTTAACCACTGAGCCACATTTCCAGCCCTTTTTATTTAGAGACAGGGTCTTGCTAAGTTGCTTAGGCTGGCTCTGTATTTTGGCAACCCTCCTGCCTCAGCCTCCTGATTTGCTGGGATCACAGGCATGCACCACCAGGACCAGCATACTCCTCTCTTTTTAAATATATCTGGTATCTTATTACCAAATAGTTGATATGACAAATGTAAATTGTTTATAAGTGTGGCCATTCTTATGGTTTAGAAAACAATTCTGAGACTCACTAGTGAGTTAGAGAATTAACAAATTATACACTTACTCTGGTATTTTATGTTTATGTAAACTAGTTTGCATGATAATGACTGTCATAAATATACGCGCCCCCCCCCAAAAAAATTGAGTTTTTAATGCTTATGAAATGTGAGTTTTTCTTAGTATGTAATATGTTAACTTAAAACTGAGGGCACCATGTAGTAAGACATGAGGCCTTACTTAAGCAGCATGTGATTTTTGAGAGTAATTATAGTCTTGTATTAAGGTAGAATGGCCATGAGTTGAATAGGTTAATCATTTTGTAATTTTATTTATTGCTGCTTTTTTAAAAACTATTGCTGTTTTCCCTAGTTCCTACTGCCTGCCTTTTGCTATTGAATTTGCCACGTGGAAAACCATTTTATTCTTCAGAGTTTGGGCCCTTGAGCTATCTTACAGTTACTCTGTAATTCTGGTCTTGAGAAAAATGTTCAATTTTTACAGGATCTGATTGAAATTACTCTAATTCACAGGGTAATTTTATCTGGATGGTGGCACTTTAGAATGCAAGTTTCCCAATCTCCATTTATCTTTTTTGGTTTGAGAATAGTGTTTAAGACTATTAGGATCACTTGATTAGTATCTCTGGGCTTTTGAAAATAATTGGCACTGTGTTAATGTTTTTTTAAATTGTTCTAATGGGTAGGTACAGCAGAGCGCACCATAAATGATTAAAGGTTTAGGAAAGCTCAGGGTCTAGAATTATTTTGGCATATTAAAGAGAAGGCTGAAAGAGAGATATAGTCACTGTTTATGAAGTTTGTGCTATAATTTCAATTTTCTGGGGATTTTAAATTAAGATATACTGTTGTATCTGAAGACAACAATTTCAAGCAGGAGTGGAGGTAAAAGTCCTCTTGAGCTTTGAGATAGTCTTGAATTCAGAGAATAGATTTCTCACTGACTAGCAGGGCAAAGTACAGAATTAAAGCTCCACTTCCCCTTCTATGAAATAGATTTGATAATAATAGTACCTGCCTCCTAGGACTAAATGAGATAATAAACATAAAACCCTTTATAGCACGGTGACTAGCACATAGTACCCATTCAAAGGCTAGCTCTTTGTAAATACTAATATATTTTGAACTTAAGGCCAGTGATCCATTTAAATTTTCTGTATGTTAATATTCAGTTCAGTTACTAAAATTTTCTTTCCATGAAACCTACTTGGAGCCAGGTGTGGTGGTGCACACCTGTAATCCCAGCTACTCCAGACACTGAGACAGAAGGATCTCGAAAGTTCAACACCAGCCTAGATAACATAACCAGACCCTGTCTCAAAATAGAAAATAGCTGAGGTTGTAGCTGAACAGCAGAGTGCTTGCAAAGCATGTGCAAGGCCCAGGATACAATTCCCAGCACTTACGCACATGCACACGCACCATAAAAAAGAAGAAGAAACCTACTTGGTATGGAAGTATACCTTTCTTTTTTTCTTTTTTTGGTACCGGGGATTGAATCCAGGGTTACTTAATTGCTGAGCCACGTCCCCAGCCCTCTTTATTTTTTATTTTGAGACACTAAGTTGTTTAGGGCCACTCTAAGTTCTTTAGGGCCTAACTAAGTTGCTGAGGCTGGCTTTGAACTTGCTATCCTCCTGCCTCAGCCTCCTAAATTGCTGGGATTACAGGCGAGTGCCACCAGGCCTGCCTGGAAGTCTGTCTTTCTTGAGGTAAGTGTATAAAAAGAAGCCATCTTGTTTAGTAATTAAACAAATAGTCTTTTCAAGTTGAGCTTCAGGCCAGGCATGGTGGTACACACATGTGATCCCATTGACTTGGGAGGCTGAAGCAGGAGAATGAAAATTCAAGACCAGCCTGGGCAACTTAGTGAGGCCCTGCTTGAGAATAAAAAGGGCTGGGCATGTAGCTCAGTGGCAGAGCACCAGGGGTTCAATTCTCAGCACTATATAAACAAAATATGTTGACCTATATTAAAGTGTAAGACTAAATAGTAAAAATGAATAAAAAAAATTTTTTTTAAAGAGAGTGAGAGAGAATTTTTTTTTTTTTTTTTAATATTTATATTTTAGTTTTCGGCCGACATAACATCTTTGTTTGTATGTGGTGCTGAGGATCGAACCCCGGGCCGCACACATGCCAGGCGAGCGTGTGCTATCGCTTGAGCCACATCCCCAGTCCGAATAAAAATTTTCATAGGGAAGATTCTGTTCTAACCCAAGACATTCCTTAAAAAAATAGGGTGGGTATTGGTAATTAAAAAGTAGCCTTGGGCTAGGGATATAGCTCATTTGGTAGAGTGCTTGCCTCCTTGCATAAGGCCCTGGCTTTGCTCCCCAGCACCACCAAAAAAAAAAGTAGCCTTGTTCTTTTATTTATTCACTCACTCATTCATTTTCCTAGTACTAGGGATTGAACCCAGTGGTCCTCTTTCACTGAGCTATAGCCCCATTTTGAGAGTCTTGCTAAATTGCCGAGGCTGGTCTTAAACTTGTGATCCTCCTGCCTCGGCCTCTCAAGGATCTGGGATTACAGGCATATGCCATCATGCCCACCTAGCCTCTTATTTTGAGTTATTAAGGGTTCTGTTCTATACTGTTCAGTTTAACAGAAAAGAACCAAGGCACAAAAGGTTGTCTTACCTAGAGTAACTTACCTAGTTAGTGCAAAAGCCAGGATTAAATTGAAGTATTCTGGTTTTGGTTCAGAAGTGGTCCATAGCTGCTGTTTATTTAATAAAAAATCAAATATTTTTAAAGCATTTGTATCTACAGCCTTATTTTTAAAAAAATTTTAATATTTATTTTTTAGTTTTCGGCGGACACAACATCTTTGTTTGTATGTGGTGCTGAGGATTGAACCCGGGCCCCACACATGCCAGGCGAGCGCGCTACCACTTGAGCCACATCCCCAGCCCTGTATCTATAGCCTTATGTTGAGGCACTTTGAACTGTCTGAAACTTTTTGAAAGCAAAATCAGTGTTGGCACCCTGAGACTTAGGAGTTGACATAGCAGGTTAAGGTGCACCCAGGAAAAATTGCTAAAGAGAGCTTACTTATTAAACTTGTGCTCTGATGAGTGTGTTAACAGTT